AATAGTACTGCCATGGCTGCTGCTACTCTCCACAGTTACTCAGCTCCGCCGTGTTCCTTTGACCCTAAGCCCGCCAATCTCTGTCACAACCGCCACCGCGCCGGTGGGAACCTCGTCCATCTGAGGTCCTCCGATGCTCGGGATTTCTCCCGATCGGTCAAGTCCTCGTCAATTTGCCGCCGCTTGGGTTATTGTCGCAGCAGCGCCGCCAAGGTGGCAGGAGAAAATGGTGCTCCGACGGCGGCGGAGGGTGGGAGTCCGGTGAGAATAATGGCTTTGGTTGGGGAAGGTAGCATCAGCCCGCTTAAGTCCACGCCTTGGTATGACGTCATGCTCCACACTGTAAGTGTATTAAGCCATTCTGTTTAGGAAAAATCTTTTAGAAGTCTCGATTAGGTGAAACTTTAGTTGGACATTCTATTTTTTCTTCTCTGTTAATCTTCTTTTCTTGATTTATTGATAGCTTGCAACTTGTAAATGATAAGTTGGTTCTATTACTTCGGATAATCTGAAGCTTTGTATCTGGAATGCGAATAAATGGTGTCCAATGAGTTAATGAAATCCCCTTTTGAACTCAGTTTCTTTTTATAATGTCAATGAACCAACTTTATTCCGCATTTAACATGTACAACTGCAAAATGTATGTAGGATTCGTGGGCCTTTGTCCAATAATTTTTTATTGGCCCGAAAATATGTTGATGTAAATTTCTATACACAGTAACTTAAGATTCTTTCTGAGATTAAGCTGTTTTCAGAAGAATGAATTTTGAACTGAGTACAATATATTCCATATTGCCCAATGTGCCTCTATTTGTTCCGTTACTGCTAACTTTAGCAAATACTAGTGTTGATTAAATCAACTAAAAATTTGCATGTTTGGCTGATATGTTGTTGCGCTACACGACTACGTTTTAATCTTTCTTTGTACCAGGCCAAAAGGTTGAAATGGGTCGATGAAGGGTTCGAAATGTCGGTTTTTACTGACAGCTTATTACGAGCTGCTGCTGATGATGATAATAATAATAATAATAATACCATAGCACAGAAGCTTGGCCAAGCAAATATCTTGATAGTTGTGGCCGTTTCGAATCAAGATTCCGTAAAATGGATTCAATCCAATTACGAGATTGCCCCAAACGTCATTTGCTTCGATTCCTCCCCAACTCTGATGAACAAATTAGGGGGTACCCTCATCCAGACCAAATCCAAAAAAATCCCATCATTCGCCAAACTGCCATTATTGCCTCTACCAAAGAAGTTAAAACAATCGGAAGATGTAACTAAATCCGTGTTCGAATCTTGGGAGAGACACAATTCTGACGACATAAGGTTCTGTTTGCTCGTAATTATAAACGCTTACATCAGACCAGTTCCCATACTCAAGAACCTAAGAGCAAAAGGCTTCTCCACTCTGAACTGCATGGTGAAGAACTGTGGGCCCCAGATATTAAACTGCCTTCTCGACCCAAATTGCCGAAAAGCCCTTCAGTGCCTTAACAATTGCAGCCCGGTGGACCAAGTGTGCAATTACCGCTGCATAGCCTCGTACGAAAGCCCACGTCTCGAAGAGTTCTCTTTATGCGTGCTGCAGAAGAACAACTGTCTTCAGTTAGACGCCGAAATTCCGAAAAAGCCCCTCGTGAGCCCAATGTCTCGGTTCAGAAGCGAAATTTTGGACCACGAAACGGCCGAAGATCTATTAGTGGGCTGGTTGGGTAATTTGGGTTGGAGCTGGCGAGTCGTGGCAGGTCAGAACCCGGCCTACGACCAGTTCCCTTGCCAGTACCAGCTTTTCTACAGGGGAAGGGCAAAAGGGTCATTTTGGTACGAGCCCGTTTTTCAGGTCAAGACGCTCGAGGGCGATTTGGTTTGGAGGAGGAGAAAGTATCGGGTGAAGAGGGGGAAAGTGCCCGGGACTTTTGATTTTAGCGTGTTGGATAATGGAGTGGTGTCGAACGAGTTTTGGACGATTGTGGACGTGAGTGAGGATTTGAGTTGGGGTTTGTTTCATTATCATGGGGCGGCTCGGGCAGCCGGGCAGTCGTACACTGGGGCAGTTTTGGTTAGCTTCGACGGGTTGTACCCTGATGAGAGGCATAAAGAGAGGGTTGTACTTGCGCTTGGCGCGTGTGGTGTTGAGGAGTGGGAATTGTTTGATGTCGATAATTGTTCGTGCGAGGGCCCGCCTTTGGGTTTGCCCAAGGGTTCGAGTTTGCATTTTAAGGTTAGGGTTGGAGATTCAGAGGATTCATCAGTCAGTCAGTAGTTAGTGTGTGAAGTGAAGAGAACATGTGATTTTTATTTTATTTTATTTTTTTTTCTGAGGTAATGTGTAAATGTACTATTAGTTTTGCTTGATTTATACATGTGAATGTTTTTTCTGAGGTATGTGCAAAATACACTGTTGTTAGTTTTCCTTGATTTGTGCTAGTACTAATGAAAATGTGCTACTACTAACTTGAATAACTTCGACTTGTTAGATGGAAAAATAAAACTAGTAGACTTTGGCGGGTCAAAATGAAATTACTATGGTAAGATATGCTAAAATTAGTCGAAATGAATCAACGCATTCACTCACAATCTGCAACATTTGTGTGATAACTTAAGCTGAAATGTGAGTGAGGTGAAGAGAACATTTGAAATTTTTTCTGAGGTAATGTGTACATGCTCTGTTAGTTTTGTTTGATTAATACATCTGAAATTTTTTTTCTGAGGTACGTGTAAAAAGATATAATTGTCTACTTTTTGGTATTTTACACAAATTCCGACTAATTAACACTTCAGGCCAACAATTATAGTTGACTTCTACTAGCTCTGCCACAATATTTAATTTCCTTTTTGGATAAAATTTAAAAATTTGTTTCATATTGTTAAAACTGAGAATGTCTGTTTGCTCATCATATATAACCAGGACTGAGTGTGACGAATACCTCACAGAACTTAAATAACTTTGACAGGTGAAATGGAAAAATAAAACTAGTACAAACTCTGGCGGGTCAAAATGAAATTACTATGGTAAAATATGCTAAAATTAATCGAAATGAATCAACACACTTCACAATCTGCAACATTTGTGTGATAACTTAAGCTGAAATGGCAATTTTACTGTAGGGCACTTTGAAGTGATTCAAGATCGAAACAAGTTCGAATGAGCTGTGCTTGAGTTTTAGACGCATTCACAAACAATTACGTATTGATAAGAGTGATAATTTACAACATTCAAGTATTGATAAGAGTGATAATTTACAACATTCAAACTCTCCGACTTGATCCAAATTCAGCACATAATTCAAGCAACAATTCAAACAGAAAAATGCAAAACTGTTTTGCTGGTGTTAGCAAATATAGTCCAGTTTGACAGAAAAATATCAGTGACATCAAAATTCCTCGATGAGAAAGAGATGCCTGAGACATATTTGACGATGATAACTTGTAGAGTCGTTCAGATTTTTTTCTTCATCCTTTTGATGAAAAGGCTTTAGTTATCCTTCCAGCCATGGCTGAAATGCCATTTTTCTACCCATCTTTGTTTGAACACAAAGTTCCTCCTCTTTGATTGCTCTCAATATTTTCCAGAAGGCTCAAGTTCGCGTGTTGAGATCTAAGGTAGCAAAAGAACGTCGTTTTACATATTCATCGTTCAACAAGGAGTGCCATCCATATATATCTAAAGCATAAATATCTTACACAATTTTTTTTAAAAAAAAATATCAAACGAAAAACATCTAGAGTAACAGAGCAGAAAGTTGCAACTCTTTACATTCACTCATGTTCTTCAGTTAAAAGGATGTTCTGGAAGAGAGGCATAACAGCATCACAATTATTATTTGCTAAAATAAGTCTAATAATAATAATCAAGGCGGAATTTTTACAAAGGCATATTCAGTTTATTGTGTAGTCACTTCAAAGTATATTGAAAAAAATAACACTCAGATAACTCGGTTATAGCAATTACAGAAGGAAAGTCACTAGTAAGTTGAGCTGCACTAGAGTAAATTTTCATGACTCAAGGAAATAAAAAGGAAAAACTGTGAAAATACTGCCAAAAGGGATAAGATCTACAGAGCAAGCCAAATGGAAAAATATCTTTGAAATTCAAGACCTATTTACCTTGCGCAACCATCAGATGCACATCACTTGGGTGATTTTTCGCACCTCAGCCCATTTTGAAACGAATGAGGCTTCTCGTCAAGTATGTCTTGATGTGCCTCCCAAAAGCTCGACTCAATTATATTGCAGTGTTTGACAACAACTATCTTCCGTGATTTGACACCGGACCCTTCTTCTTTCCCGTCCACCAGCATTGTCTCCTGCCAAAATAAATGAATGATAAACAAAATAAATGTAGTAGTTAGTTTCTATNAAAAAAAAAAAAAAAATAACAGAATGAGAAAGTGGGGGCCTTTTAATGCATAAACTTATTTTCCTCCATGACATTTTCCTACTCTTCCTTTTTCATGTGAGTGAGGAGATAGATTATACATATGCACTTATCTCATAAAAGGATAAACTGCAGATCACGTATATGACGATAACATGTCATGACAAAATAACTGACTGTTCGGTATCATATAAGAAAACTTCGTGAATCTCATGGAAGAGAAAAGCCATCAAGGATGACATGAGGAACAGTCAAAGAAAGTTCTCATATAAAGTGTGTGTGTGTGTGTGTGTGTGTGTGTGAGAGAGAGAGAGAGAGAGAGAGAGACCCTATCCCAGTAAACTGATGAACCCTGGCGGAACATGGGATGTGATGTCTGATAGTAATTTGAGATACCGGAGAGCTCATCGAGAAGTTCATTTTTCTCCTGAGTTTGAGTACCCTGAAAATTACCAAATAATAAAATCCAGAATAAAAAAAGGGCCTGAAAAACCAATTTGCAGACACGAGTCTCGATGTTGTAAAACACCATTTCAACCGTACTTTGAAATCACAGGTCTTGATATGTTCAGAAAACACATTCAATTCCATAAAATACTCGCGAGCTCACATCAAAGTTTTAGACTATCCATAAGGCTTCCATATTAACCAATCTGCTTATCATGTAATCAAGTAACCAACCAAGTTGTTTTTACACTTCACATTAACTAATTAATACAGACAACGCTAGAACCACACTTAATATCTTCTATTTTCAGCTATTTTGGTTTCTTTTCAAAAAAATAACATGAGAATAAAACAAGAGATAAAATTTCATAGTAAAAAAATCAATGCTGCCTAAATTTTCAGATTTATATTTATCACAAATAAAACACTGCTAACATGGACACCATATGCCGCTTTGCAGACTCAAGGATTTCAAAGCATACCTTCAAGAAATTTTGTGCTTCACTCTTGCTTTTGCCGGACTTCACAAGCATCCAGAAACAAGTATTATACTGATTATTGATGTGACCTGCAAATTCAGAGGTTGTAGTGAGAATATAATAAGAAAGACACACTTCAACAGACAAATAAATAAATAAACAAAAAAAAAAAAAAAAAAAAAAAAAAAAAAAAAAAAAATCTCCGGTATGCTGATGCTAGACACAAACTGTCATTAACAATCATGTTATGTCCCAGAAAAAACTCAAAAGCAAAGATAAACTCACAGTCAACTTGTCTCCATGACAGATAATCTCGAAGAATCTCACATGAAGGGTAGCAAACAGCACGGCCATCGAAATATGGTGGATACTTTAATTCTTTATGTGGGAAAAATTCATTCCATTTCATAGTGTATACTGACGAGAAGAATGATACGACTGCAGAAACTATATCACTGCAAAACGACAAAAGGCATACAATCCAAACATAATCATACTGCTGAGCAAAGAAAAATGAAGTCAGACTGGGGGAAATGAGAAGGTACTAAAAATTATCTTTGAGATGCTTGAGTTGGAATAATCAATAGCTTAATAGACTACTCAATTTTGTGAACGAGCTGTAACTAGACCCATTGAGTACTAAATAGCCATTGTAAGATATATTCAGTAATAAATTAATTGCCAGCAAAATGCAAGAAATAGATGTAGGCGAGATACCTGGCATGCCTTCCATAGAGCTGAGACTCTCTCTTCAAAACAAAGCTGAAAGGACCAAGTGACCGTCAAAAAACAAAGGTAAATATCTAATAAAGTGAAGTCATAACATATGACAAAATGATTTATTACCTATACTCATCACTAACCCCGTAAGCAAAGATAATGTCCTTAAACTCTTCTAGAACACCAGTTGCACATGAGTTCATCAGGTTGAGAGCTTGCACATCGTTAGGCTTCTCAAATTCGTGAACTTCAGAAAACCTGACAAAAGAAAAGCAAAGAAAGCGAACAGTCATCTATATTTGTATATTGTTGAAGAGAAAGAAGTCTCAATAGCCCAAAGAAGCTTTCCAGCTCATTTCTGTTACTGAACAAAGAAATGTTGGAATTATATTAAACCTTCAATCACTATTTGGTTTTGTTCATTTTTTACTCAATCTCCCCACATTTTCTAGAGGACTATTCACTTCGGCGTTTTCAAATATATTAGTTAGATACAAGTCAATCAAGTCCAAATCTCCAATCACATTTAGATTGGAGTCCTAGTATAGCATTTCCCACAGACATGGTGTGAAGTGAAGCATGAGCTAATCACCTGTGAAAATGGCAACCATCAATCCGAATAACAATCCAAGTGAATGGCATCAACTTGCGCTTATATTGGAAAGATCTAACATAATCTGATTCGGTTTTGTTTAAATCTTTAACGAATTCACCTAGCTCCTTTGACAGGCACAAGTGCCCATTCCAAAAACTTCGAGATGCAATATTTTTTGAATGAACTGTTATGACCTTCCTCTTATGTCTTTTGACAGGATCTCCATCATCTTTGTACTTCACAATATCTTCAACCTAGTTGATCCAACATATACAATTAAGATGCCGGGTCAGTTTGTGAGCAGATCAACAAGTTTAGAAATGTTGGATGTTACAAATAGTTCCAATTCAGAAAAGGCCTCAAGCTCAACAACACTATTTTCATTTTCAGACCAAGAGCACGAAAAAGAGCAAAGAACATAAAGGGGGAAGGAAAAGAAACATAAAGATACCTCTATCTTGAGAACACATGTTCCCTGGCGAAAGATTTCTGGTATATCTTTTGCGTAGTTAATGTTAAAGTGTTGGTACAGCAATTCATTTACTACTTGCTTCTGAGATCCCTGTAAATAGCAATCAAAAGCAATATGTTATTTTCAATGGACATGAAACATGGTTAGGAAAAGAGAAGATACTTGAAAGAAATACGAGTTTATTAATTAGAGGTGTTCATCGCCATCAAATATGACAGAGGCTACACATAAAAGAATAAGATTAGCATGAAAATATATTTTATATTTTTATGGAGAGTTTTAGGCTGCCCGATCAGTGTTATCAATGACGGATGGTACCTCCATAACCGACATTCTTCACAAATTTAGCACGGGCGGTTTGGCAAAAATCTGCCGCGCCATGGTCGCCATTTCGTAACACTATGCTCGACTCATTTAAACACACAGAAGTAATTACTTTTTTTAACATTTTCACAAAGCGAAAATATTTTAGCTGTTAAATGGCTATTAAAATCAGAAAAAACTTGGAGAGTTTTTATTTGAAAAGCTATGCATTAAAATCACTTTAGTAATGCATATAAGCTCAACACAAAAGCTATTGATACTTTAGTCATCATCAACCACACAAGCTCAAAAGTAAAAAAAAGGCAACAGGATTCACAAAAATTAAAATTGTTGACAATGGCCACATAACCTTAAAATTCAATTAAAAATTTTATGTTGCCACACCATGCATTCCATTGCACAGATAGATACTGCAAGGTTACGCGAAAAAGTTCACCTTCAACATTTCTTCTGCTTCTTTTTCCGTTTTTCCACCATTCTTAATCAGCTGCCAAAAACAAGTATCATACTGGTTATTCAAGTGACCTGCCAATAAAAAAATCACTTTTTTATCAAATGTAAAACCCCCCTATATAATTTCTCTACAGAAATACAGTAGTGCAATTCTAAGCACAGAAAAATTTAGATCAGAATTTATTGCACGTTTTGGGGGTATCACAGGAAAAAAATTCAAATTTTTCTTACATTCAAGTTGTCTCCATAAAAGATAAGCTTGAAGAACCTCCACAGATGCACATTCAATAATGTGTGATTGAAAAGAAGGAGCAAGTCTCAAGTCCTTTTGCGGGAAGAATTTTTTCCACTTGGTGACATACATAGACGTGAAAAAAGATACAATGAGTGAGTGTATCTTGCTGCAAAGCAATTACAGTCAGCAAACATGAGTATGATAATTGATTCAAATGAAAGAATATTTTCCAAAATGTAGTGCAAAATAGAAGAAAAAGAATGTTCAAAGAGAAATTATCTGATTGGAATATATACCTGGCACGACGCTGGTAAAATTTGGTTGCTTTTTTAAATATAAAACTGCAGACCAAAATGAAACAAATTATGAAGTAGCAAACCCCATCATGTACGCAAACAATAGAGATTCTTTTAATATGTTATTCTTATACGATTTACCTATACTCATCTCTGAAACCATAAGAAAACATAATATCAGGGAATTGCTCTAAAACAGCCTTGGCGCACATATTCATTAGCTCTAATGCTTCCTTATCATACGGCTTCTCAAACTCGTGCACTTCAGAGAATCTACTCCATATAATTTAGAGAGGGAAAAAAAAAACTCATTAAAAACAAGCACAAATGCAAGAACTTACGAGAATTCAGGTGTCGAATCAAACCTGTGAAAATCACGTCCATTGATGCGGATAACAATGACATTTGGCGGCATTATCTCATCCTCCACCTCAAAAGACTTCACGTACTCGTACTTGCTGTTAGCCATTTCAAAAACTCAAAGCAAAAGGTGTTGCTGAAGACTTTATCTATCTTTACTCAAATCAACAATCTTGTCTCTCAGCCAATCTCAGACACCAAATCCAAGACCCACTCAACAGTCTTGAAAACTGAAATACTGCAAACAGAGAGAAATCAATAAGTAAACATAAATTGTCCCCTANAAAGAAAAGAGTATATTTATACATATAAAATACTAAATAACTTCTTATATAAGAAATTTCTATCAAGACACATCATTTAAAACTGGAAGGTTGAAGCAACTGTGTAAATTACTACTGTCACACCCCGAAATGTAATAACTGTAAAATAATATTATACGGGTCTACTTTATCGAGCTAAACTGAAAAGAACACGGGACAACAGCGGAAACATCTGAATACTACGTAGACATGTCAAAATGAGCCGGCGGATACACAAGATATAGTCAAACATAAACATCCATCAACAAATGACAAGTCCACCAAACATTAAATTGGGCAAAAAAAATTGAATAAAATTCAGCCACCTTACCGTAAGAAGCTGCCTTGCCGTTGTCTGGCCCGCTTGCCTCTCGTCGCTCGCCGGTCCAAGGTCGCAGCCGCCGCTGTCTTACTGCTCGCCTCCGCCGCTGGTCGGAGGTCGCCGCACACCAGTCGGTCTACAGAGGCTTGCCGCAGTTGTGACTTTGGGAATTAGGTTCTTAAAGAAGCGTGTAACCTAATTTGCTTCGATGAAAGGAAAATGAGAGAATGCGAGTTTTGTGAAAGAGAGGAAAAGTAAAGAAGCGTATAATCTAATTTGCTTTGATGAAAGGAAAAGTAGGCGTGGTGTAATTGTAATTTTTTTTAACGGGCTGGCCGGCGGCCCGGTCCGCGAAAACGGCCAGCATCAGTTCTATACATTTATATTGGATTTTTTTGTTTTATATTTATATCAAACAATGTTTGGACAGAAAAATTTTTGTTTTATTTATATTGGATTTTTTTGTTTTATATTTATATCAAACAATGTTTGGACAGAAAAATTTTTGTTTTATTAGATTTTTTGGTTTGGTTTGGTTTGGTTAATTTATAAAAAGGTAGTATGGTTAGTTGTTAGTGGGTATATTAAAATAATATTTAAAATAAAATAATTAAGATTAATTTAATGTAAAATTAGGATAGAGATGATTTGAAGCAATGATTAGTTAAAATAATGTGAGTGGATGAATAGTAAATTAAGGTTGATGTGGTGTATATGAATGATTGATTGATATTATTTAATTATATTGATAATATTGATTATAGTAGAGTTGAATTAAAGTTGAGTTAAAAAACGTGGTTGAGTTAAAATGTTAGAATTTTTTGGAGATTTCTTGTATACAAACATACCCTAGTTTTTCCAGCCCTTTCTTAATGGGGGTTCTTAGACGAGCCTTTAAAACATCAGACTAACCCACCTATTTGGCGAGGCCGCCTGCCGACCCAAATCCGTCTTGACAAACCTAAATACAAGTTCAAAATATCTCTGGACAAAACCGGAAGATGCTAAGTCGACACTAAGTTTAGGGCAATGCTCGCAGTATGTCTGTTGAGCTAGTCACGATATACCTCACATGTTACAAATTTTATTTTATTTTTTCATTAAAAATTGTGGGGTGAGCTAAAGGGGCTCAGCATTAGGAATAAAAAATATCATCTTTCTTTTTTTTCTCATATTTTTTTTTTAAATTATAATAAATTTATATTTTTCATATTAATATTTGTACAACACAAAATTAAAATAATTTATATTTTTATTATGAAATTATGTATCATGAATATGTAATAATAATAAATAACTAACACAATAGTAATTAATTCAAGTGACGCCCGTATTTTTACACTAAATTTGTCAAAAAAAAAATATTTTTAAATTATATTTTTAAAATTATATATGTATAAAACTGATATTATTTACAAGTCCATATATTTGATTTGTTTTTTTAAAACAAAACAAGTTCTATTGTATTGTGATTATATTTATATTTATAGAGTAATTGTCTCACGTCTATTAATTTTTCAAGTAATTTATAATTTAGAATTTCCGTAGAAATATATTATTTTCTAACTTTATGAAATACAAAATTATTTTACTATATTTAATAATGATATTCTTTTATATTTACTATTTTAAATAACATAATAATATTCAGTTTTTTATAATCTATTTAAATTGAGAATAATATTTTACAATATTTCTTAGAATTTATTTTATGTAATACTTAATTTTCATTTTTTTCCCAAAAATTATGGAAAAAACCATAAATGATTATTTTACAATGTATTAATGAATTAGAGTTTTATTATTTTTATAAAATAAATATTTTTATTTGATGTATTTTAAATTAAGTTGATAATAAAATTAATTTTATTTATAAATATAGATGAAAATAATTTATTTTATATATGCAATATCGATGTCAAATCGAAGAACGTTAAAATATGATTATTTTGGTAGATCATATATGAAAAAATAAAATAAAAATAAAAAAGTTATAAGTTTTAAAAATAAAAAGAATACATATTTATAATAACTAATATACGAATTAAATAAAAAAGGTAAGAGTAGTATATGGTAACTTAAGAAAAAACGGAAACTAAAATAATTTATGGGAATCCTCAAACATAATAGTCAAAACCAAACATGAACATGTGTCAATACGAATCACCAATTTATGTCAAATAAGCTTATGAAGCACACGAGCCTCCCACTAATTAGAATTAGCGCATTCGGGAACTATATATATATATAGGGGTGATTTGCCACTCTTTAATCATTTATTGGCTGTGCCTTAGTTCGGAACCAACACATTCTATCCTCTAGGCATTGTTACATGATCATGTTTAGCAAACTTAGCTAGTCAATATCTCATCATCAAATGACGAAATATTGATATTTATACACATTCGTGCATTTAACCCTCACAACCATTAATTCATCGCATATCTAAAATCATCTCATTTATTTTTTTTTTTTTCTTCCCACATACATGTAAATCGAAAAAACTAAAACAACAAGACGAAAAGGGCCAAAACACCCGATAAGACTCCGGCCCACACATGCATGCCGAGTTTCCATGCGCCGCTATCTTGTAATGCGATTGGGAAAAAGCATTGCCCGGTTGATGCGTTTCGCGAAGAGATCTTAGCAAGACCTTCGAAATTGCACGCGCGCACGTCTTGATTGTTTATCTGGAAATAGTTGTTGAACGCGTATGAGATGCGATGTTGCTTGTCCAAGCCGTTGCACGAGCATCCGGCCCCTAAAGCCGTGCAGTCGCCGTTAGAGCACGCGAAGTTCATGTTAGCTGGCATTTTGTCCAAATTCTTGATGTCGCCGTTCAAAACGCACCACTTTTGCTCCATGTAAGGCACGTTCCTGTTTAGTGGTGGATTCAAGATTTGTAAAGAAATCTTACTAGTAAATTGTCAAGTCAAAATATGCAATTGTGTTCACTTCACCTAACATCGGAGAAAAATATTTTAATTTTTTTCCTCTTGAAACAAATTCAAAGATATTAATATTCTTTTTTGTTAAAAATTTGGAGCTATTTTTATATAGTAAAATAAAAATGTCATGTTTATGTTTTTTTTATTTTTCTTACATCTTATATAGCGAAAATTCAATTTTGCTATAAATGTTGAACTTTCATAAAGAGTATATTTTGAGAAAGCCCATTAGATGGTAAATCCATGAATACTTTTTGATATGGATTAGATATACCATCGAGGATCATGAGATACCATTGGGTTTTCTGGAATACAATATATTTACATAAACATTTCTTTTATGCAAAATAAAATCATTAGTAAATGATTATCAAAGTATTAAATGTGAGAAAAAGAAAACTAAGTAAAGAGGAAACTTTACATACCNNNNAAAAAAAAAAAAAAAAAAAAGGTAACTGATTAAAAAAAGAAAATAACATTTTCGGTAGATGCTTACTTGGCGGGGACTGGCATTCTGTCATTCCCTTTCCCAGTGAAGTCGATCGGGTACTTGGGTTGCCCGTCATACCTATATATCCCCCAATGGCGCTCGAAATCCCCGGGCGCTATGCTCTTTTGATTCTCGTCCGTTAAACTAAACAAATAATACTCGAGCTCGTCCTTATACAACGGGCTCCCCTTCTTTTCAGCCATCTTCTTAAGAAACCCTTGGTAGAATCTCTTCGCCATCTTCGCATTCGCTTGGGCGTGCCCGTCCGTGGGCCACCCTATCTCCCCTATGGTGATCCTCACCTTGGGGGCCCCGGCCTTCTTGAGCGCCCACACGAGCGTGTCCAAGTTGGCGTCGAGCATGTTCGTGTAGGTGATCCCATCGTCCTCGACTGGCGTGGCCCCACCGTCAAAGAAGGCAAACTCGATGGGGAAATCCGGGTTTTGGTAGAGGCTTAGGAAAGGGTAGATGTTGACTAGGAAAGGGGAGTTGTGGTCTTGGAGGAAGCGCACGATTTGGGTCATGAGGTCGCGGATGTCGGCCCGGAATTGGCCGGCCGAGGGGCCCGACGAGCCCGAGTCGTAGACGTCGCCGTTTTGGGGGATGGTGGCCTTGATGCGGTCGCCGAGCCCGCTCTCGTCGAGGGCCTTTTGGATGTTTTGGAGGGCCGGGAATGTGGTCTCGAGGTTCGACCCGTTGTAGGCTTTAAGGAATGGCTCGTTTCCGACCGCGACATATCTAATTTTTGAATAACAAAATGATGAGATTAAAATTGCAAATTTGGTCCTGTTAGATGTTGAAGGTGGCAATTTAGGTCATATTGAAGTGACATATAGTAATTCTAGTCATCGTGTAATTTGAAATTTTGCTACAGTTTCAATTCATTGGCCGTCAAAATTCTTAATTTTATATGTTCGGGATGGATGTTGATTAGCAATCTAAGTCCTGTAATTTAAATATTTGCTACAATTTCAGTCATCTCATCGTCAAAACTCTCAATTATGATCAAACTAATGGAACTTGTTGTCTTTCAATCAAGATTAATTTCCTAAACAATAGCATATGCATGCATTAATGCATGTATATATGATCAAATTAATATGCTCTTACTTGATGTTAACACCACCATTGTACAAATGCTTGGCCACATGGTCCTTGACCCAATCCTTTGCCTTGTCGTAATCGCGAGCCAGAGAACTCAACTGATTGTTGGGGATGCCGAGCATGACTTCAATGTCCATCCCTTTGAAGAAGTTGACGGTCCAAGCATCCGAATCGAACAACTTGACCTTATTAATCTTGTTGTCTCTGAGAAGCTGGGCAACAACACCAGGGTTCAGGTTTTGGGCAGCCTGGGTTCCCCAGTTCACGCCGAGCCCCTCTGCCACGTGGCCCATGATCGACAGCGTGGCAAGAAGCATAAAGCCGACCCATGATGTCGTTGCCATCTTCATATTTTCGATCAAAAAAAAAATTGAGAGGGAAGGGTGATCTTATTATTTTGCATGAGTTATATGGGGGGAAAGAAAGTAGAAATCAAGCTGCATATAGGTCTTTTTGTTGATTTAGGATTTGGATAATTTGTGGACAATGAAAAATTGGTGAGAATCCGTGAATATAGTGATATATACTATATATGTGTGTGTCTGTGTGAAAAAATTGCATGGGGATGTATTTCCTCAAATCTTGGAGGCAGATTAGAATGGAAGGTCGGGGATGAAAATGAAAATAATCAAATGGCAATCAAAATCTAATTTTGTTGTGGTTTTTCATCTCTTTTTTTCCTTAGAAAAGTGACAAGAAACTGTTACACGAGAGTCCCGACGAACTATAGACATATTGTTTTTACAATCTTCTTTGGTGAACCCTTAAAAAGTTTTGCTCATAGCCTAGCTCAATAAATCCATGCTCGATTCGGCTATACTCAATCACAGCCGTACACACTACACGCCAAAGGTTGAATCTTTATAAAAAAAGAAGGATAATTAAACTTACTGCAGTTTCTACAACCATAGAAACATGGCACACACAAAATACATACAAGAGAAACCCCAGAAACTGGCCCCCAGTATTCCATTATTTAAAGGATGATATATACATATTGTACATGTTTTGTATTTCCACCAAAAATATAAGACCAGAAAAGTAAAGAAAAAAGTTCGAATACTCGCATAAGCACACCATACTTTGGCCCCAGTTTAACAAACAAACAAACAAAAAATAAAAGGAAAGAAAGACTTAANCGATTTGAATTGAAGAGTAGAAGTGAGAGCAAAATTAGTCAAGGTGGAGAATTGTTAGTTTTTGATTAATTGGTTGTCCCACATCGGATGTATACCAAAGATGTCTAGGACCTTATCAGTATAAATAGGTCCCTTGCCTTTGGGTTACAATTGCACTTTATTTTATTCTCTCCTCTCTTAGAAGGAAATCCTTAATTAAGGGAACCCTAATTTGTGGGTTATTTAACCCTAGTTGTATTTTGTTGGTGAGTTTAGTAAATTTAACATTGCGGTTGGCGGTGCCCGGAGACGTAGGCTATTTTCGCCGAGCTCCGTTATCAATTTTTGTGTTCTTTTTATTTCTCGTCTTTTATTTATTTGTGTTGGCTTATTTTCGTTTGAAGTAGTGCTTGCCATATTTGTTAGAGGGGTAGTTTTGTCCGCTGTGTTTGGTGTTCTACCCCAACAAACTCACAAGTGTATATTCTAACAGGATAAATAATCTACGGTTAGCAACATTGATGAAATGGTTTCGTAACGGGACTGTGGTCTTTCCCTATTTTTTATGTACTTCATTATTTAAGGCTAGACATGACAACGGGTCCGAATTTTGGCCCTGAACTGCCAGTGGTCAACGGATCTTAAACCGCACTCATAGTTTGACCGAGTTGATTCGGAGCCTTATATATCTATTTTTTAACCGTCGGGTCGATTTCGAATTGGAATCGGAATCGCTGGTTCGACCCTATTTTTATTTCTTTATTATTTTTTTGACTTTTTTTAAGGAACTGGGCCGACCCGAAACCGGCGGTTCACCAAACCGGCCCGTGCATATGTTGGGGTTGGATGAGGGCCGACCAACCCTTGGCCTAGGACCGGGCTCAGAACCAGTTTTAACCATGTCTATTTAAGGCATGCTTGGACATAAATCAAACGAGTTTTGAGTGACTTTTTTGGTTAACCAGAGTTAATTTTGAAAAAAGTGGTAGGGTTAGTTGTTAGTGGGATACTGGGATTTTTGAGTTTATATATTAAAATAATCTTTAAAATAAGATTATTAAAGTTGATTTGATGTAAAAGTAGGAGAAAGATGATGTGAAATGATGGTTAGTTAAAATTATGTGAGTGGATGAACAGTGAATTAAATATGATGTGATGTGTAAGAATGATTGATTGAGATTATTTAACTATATTGATATATTGATAATATTGAATATAGTGAAGTTGGGTTAAAGTTAGGTTAGATTTCGAGAATGGATTGAAAAAAATTATAAACAAATAACCCCTAAGGGTAGTTGCGCAATCCTTCTGAAGTTGGGTCTATTAACCCAACCACCACTAGTCCACCGTAATTAAAAAATAAAAAATAAAAAATAAAAGGATAAGATGCTTGGGAAGTATTAAAAGAATAACACTTCCTTGTTTCGTTTCGACTTAAAATTGTTCACTACGTAAGCGCGACATTTCACAAATTTCCAAAAGTATAAAGAAACATTATGATTGCCCTATTGAACGTTTCCAAGATGGAAACTCATGAGGGTTTTCGGTAATTTTTTGAAAAATCATGATCTTTTTTACTTTTGTGATTAGAGACCTGAATCACTGGTGGCTTCTGTAGGTATCCTGTATGTCATAATCACTCGATCCCAAAAGGATAGGCATACAATTATTTCACGGAGTTCAAGAACAAGTTGATTAAAACTCTGCTTTCCCTTGCACACCTATTCACAAATGTATTTGTGCTCATTCTCCTTGATGCTTTTATTTCGAAGAGCGAAATCGAGTAGCGGGCGAGCTTTTGGGAGTGAGGGGAGTGTATAGTAGTTCAATTGACAAATTATCTTTCGAAATTACAAAACCAACTTAAAATATCCAGTTTGTATAAACCTAAAAATAAACTCATACGCTCAAGGGAGTAACTTGTGAATGAAACAAATGTCCAGGCAGACATTTCTTATTCCGAAAGCTAACTGGATTTTTGGTATAGTTCTCGTAATTATCTTTAAGGTGACTAAAGGAGTTAGAGGTTGCAGTAAAACATACCATGGCAAATGCGTCAAGGTCATTAGGATTGAACTGCTTGAGTGACGTCAGAACAGCCATTCGGAACCCTCGAACGGCCTCTGCAGTGCCGCTGTTTGCATCAGCAGCAGCCGAATATTTCTGGAGGAGGAGATCGAGCTGCCCGTTTTCGATAAGAATTCCGAGTATGAAATCAAGTGCATGGAAGTTTCCAACTCCTGTTATCAGACGAGCAAGGCAAGAGAAGTCGCCCTCCCACACATAAGCCTCTACCCGAGTAGCGGAAAGTGCGACAAGCACGTCAACCCCATCGAGGCACGATGACAGCTTGTAAAAATGGTGGGATAGAATAAGGAGCTCAACCTGAGAACGGGTTTTTGGGAATATCATGTTACTACTTATGAAATGACTAAATCATCCTTGATCGTTAATGGGTGAGAGAAAAAATGACAAGTAGTAGTACAGCAGAGTAGAAAGGGCCTACTAGGAAATGTGATCATGCTTCACTTTTATTTATTTTATTTATTTATTGCATGCGTGCGTGTGTGTGTGTGTGTGTGTGTGTCTGTCCTCAACCTTAACTGATGGAATGAGGCTGATATCATAGGCATGATGCGTACAAAGGGGAAAAAAAGAAAGAAATATGGCAAAAGGAAACTGATGATAATATTTTACCAACGCTACAAAGTTACTACTACTTTCAAGCTGAAAGCTGCCTACCACTTTCTTGAAGTAGAGAAAAGGTGTTGTAGATTACTTTTCCGGTTTGACTTGTTTAAAAAAAAAAAGAAGTTTTAACTTTAAATACCAGATGCACTCAACTCTTTCAACTTCTAAACTTCCACTTGCAAATACTATCAATTTAACAAGTACTTTTAGTTTCTGCTCCACTAACTTCTCCTAAAAGCATAAGTTTTTGCAAGTTCTCCCTGGATTAGAATGAATATTACCTCACATGCATGGGGTATTTCTTGCCCTGTGATTACTAATCTCATTAACGCATGGCCAATTTCTGAATCAGAAGGACAAAGCTCGGCCCATTTCAAAAAGTCAGAAAACCTCCATAGCAGCGGAGCAGGTCCTTCCTCCTTCTGAGAATCCATATATCCCCCACGATGTGCAGCTAATAGACCCTGAAAAAGATGTTGATGAACCCCCAATTAGAGAACAGTACAACTGAAAATGGGCTCCAAAATGCAATTAAACAATGTTAGAGACCACCAGGAAAGGAATAGCTAGACCCAAATCCAAAATAAGTAATATTGGGTCATTATCAAGACTAAAATAAAGTAAAAATCAGATTCACCTTAAGAAATGATTCGGCGAGAATTTGGGCAATACTAGCAGCTGGTATTGAGTGACTTCGAACTAAATGATTGGCTTCTTCAAAAGAATCTTGCGCTTTAAGAGAAAGCAACTGAAGAAGTTCAATGGGTTGCTTCTCAAAAGCCTCTGAAAATGTTAGACCAAGCATATTTGCAGCCTTCACAACAGATATAATCCTTTTGCACAGTGCACGTCCGCTACCTTCCACAAGAATGGTCGACAAACCCTCCAAGACCTTCATCGAGAAAGAAACAATCGGCACTTGGATTATCAATGTTGGATTTGACAATAAACGTAATAAGGAAAAAACTCGTGCAGAAACAACAATAAAAATGGAACATCACAATCAAACTCGAGAATATTACCAGTGCTGGATCATAATTCATACATCACAAGGCCCATTTTTTTTTCCCCAAAAGAAAGAGACATAAAACTTCACAAGTTGTCAAAACCAAACATTGGATACTTTCAATTCAAAAATGGAAAAAAAAAACGAAGAAAATAAAGGATGATACGAATGAATTTGTAGACATGAAAAGAAGGGGAAAAAATTGAAAGCTATTACCTTCACGGGGTCAATCACCCATCCATCAGTCAATAAATTGTATGATTTCAGGATCGAGCGCACTTCATTGTCCAACATTGAAACATGCACCATGTTTCTTGGAGTTGAAAGAGCGGCAAGCTTCAAAGCAGCATCTACAAGTGAGAACTCGGCTGGCGTGATGTCAGGAGATAGCTTATTCTGCAGTTGTCTGGCTGCAGTTATTTGCCCAAAATCCAATAATGAAAGGACAGCCCTCTCCAGCTCAGCAGGTTCAACTCTTTCCTCCCACCTCGATAGTGATGCATCTATTCTGAAATTTCCATCCAGAGACAGTGACTCATCTCTGAGGATGACCGGAATAGATTCAGACCCATACTTTTTATCCGCTGAATCTGCCAAAGGCTTCCTTGATGATCCAAAGCCTTTGGCTCTTCTTTTCGTCTTTGTGCTCAAAAAGCTGGAGTCAGAAGTTGGAGTGGTTCTCGTATGTGTCTGACTGTTATCCCTATCATTTTTTAGCCTCATTGCATTTATGTGGTCGTCCATTTTTGTAACTATACTTGCAGTACAATCTATCAAGTTCGAACCCTTAGTGGCACCAGAATCCCGGGTAGGGTAGGTTACTGAATCTTCACCTTCACTCTTCACCTGTGCTTCAGATTCCACAGCCAAGAGCCACACTCTGGTTTCGATTTCACGCAAGTGATGGAGTGGATACAAGCTGTAAAAAGTATACATTTTAAGTACTTCAAAGTGCATTGGTATACAAGTTTTTTATTTGAAAATAAGAATTACCCAAAAAAAAGAATAAGAAGAAAAAAAAAACTTACGGATTTGACTGAGTTATCATCCCACTCAGCCATTGCAGAGCAAGTAGCAAAATTTCATGAAGTTCTCTAGCTGGTATATCCTTTTCTGCTGCCTCTGCATGTTTGAGAAAGAACTGTCCAGCCTAGAAACAAAAGGAAGGACATTAAATTTCAGCAAATGAGTTAGTAACTGAAACAAAGATATAAAGCAAATTGGTGATTGACAAGCACATTTCATAAGAAAAAAAAACACATTATAAAAATAAGAAGAAGAAACTTGAAGCTAAAGATAAACCTCCAAAAATGTAAAAGATAATTGAGTACTTGCATGATAACAACCATTCACTAATCCCTGTTGCGGAATAACTTTACCAGTAATGCCGGGAAAGAGTATCTGATGAAAAGTGTCTGGCAGTGACTCCACAAAGCAGCCCTCTCTTCAGGAACATCCCAAAGGTATTCCTTCCATTCTGCAACCATGGCTTCAGCCTAGGAGCAGAAACACATGCACAAATTAGGATAGAATAATATAAAAATAACAAAAAACAAAAACAAACAAATACTTATCTTTCCAAAGAAGAAAAATCTAACATAAATTGTCATGGAAACTCATTTTATGAAACAATGACTCGGTTGTAACTTATCTTCCGGAGAAATGCAACTAATCGATAAGGTTTCACCACATATCATGATTAGCAATATGATTCAGATTTCTTGATACAAGAGAGATTCAAAATGCACCAAATCAGGGAGCCAGGGCAACAGATCCACTTCTTCTAGATTTTTTTAAAGATGCATTGTAAACAAGCCTAATGCGATGCACCAAGAAACAACAGATAATAGTACTTTGATCATCTTTCAGCATAAACATATGAAAATATTGTAGACAGAGTTCTAACCACCAAGTAGGGAGGCTAATTTTGTAAATAGAAGCAAGGCACTCCAGAAAGTAATTATATGATGGAAAATTTTACCTGCATTTCTGTCACATGATTGGCTGCCGATTTCCAACATGGTTCACCACTGGCTTCCAACTGTTTGGCCCAACTGCGTGCTTCCTCCCAGTATCCGTTCTTTTCTAACGCATCTAAAAGTGAGGCATCATCTAAGGTTTCATTTCCTAAGAGGGGACACTCATCACTCCGCAGAGAAGGTTCAGCCATATCAATTTTCCAACACAGTTGACCATATCGTGTGGAAGTGGAACCCCCGTCACCAAAGTCAGTAGCAGCAAGAAGCCTAAGCAAGCATCTTTTTTCATATGGAGATGGACATTTTAATAGCATGGAATCAGCAGCTTTCACGGCAGTGGAAATTGTCCATGAATTTCCGACTTTCTCTTCTCTTTCCCAACTTTGTTGTGTATGAGAGGTCTCTTCCTTAATTCTGGAAGCAAAGGATCCAAGATGTGCTGAAGCCTCCGAGAGTCGCATTTGCGAGAATGCCTAGAGGGGGAAAATCATGTAAGTAAATACAATTTTTTGTCTTTTCAACTACTACCGAAACGAGATGAATATTGCTTTATAACTCATAAATCAACATGCAAAGCCACAAGTTGAGACAATAGAAACTTTTATGCATATTCTGTAACTCCCACAAACTAGCAGTTAAAGGTAAGATCAAAATTCTAGTAATTTGGCAAGGACCTAGCCCTATAAAACCATAGAAAAATCATGAAGTTCCAGTAAAACAATCAGATGAAATGAATGGCTGAAGCAAATGATAGTAGTTGTTACGAGTGGCATATGCTTTGCCATGGATTTCGGAAGACTGATATGTTATATGTATGAATATTGAAAGGGATGTTAAGAAGTAAAATAGAAAAACACACCTAGCAGAGAAGAAAAATAGCATTTATCTAAAAGGATTTACAATTCAGATTGAGTCAATAGTACGATATATTCATATCTTGCATTTATAAAATGCCAGAGAAGAAACTAAATTTACACCTGATTTCTAGGCCACAATCTCACAGTTCCTCCAAGTGGGGGCAAAAACAGGACAAAAATAGGAAAAGAACCTCAACCAACCTGAAGAGCACGAATAAAAGGTAACAGCAAGCAGGAAGGAAGAAATATCTCAAAAGCTTGAAGCAGAGGAAGGAACAGGTGTTGCTCACAGAGCACAGCCACCATTCTTGACAAGGCATTAGCTATGCTATCAGAGTCAGTAGAACATTTAGTATCTTCATCACCCAGTTTCTCGGCGTCCTCACAAATAGCACCTTGAATGTTGGAGATAACAGAACCATCAGAAGATTGTGAAGCCAGTGAATCTGTTGGACTGGGTTCCAAAAGGCGCCTTCGCTTTGAGTTTTTTCTATTATAATGCAATGCAATGGTTCTAGCATTAGCAGGACGGGAATTAGTAGCCTCCACCGCAGCTCCAACATTTTTCGAAATTCGCGATGCAATATCGTTAACTCTGATAGCAGAAGTCTCCCTGATAAGACAGTGAAATACACCATTATAGATTTCTTCTAACTAAAACATCAAGCTTAGCCTTCATCAGTAGGGGAAGAAAGAAAGGAAAGAAGGGCGGTTCTGTGGTCAGGCAGCCTTCGTACTTGCCTGACACCAGGCACACCCTTATGAACCTTTAGATTCCAATGAGATTCAATCTTAACCATCCATTTTAAGCACAGATGTACAACATTTAAAATGCACTTGTACTCTTATTGTAATTTTTATACTATTATATTATATTAATAAATACATTTAAAATAAGCTATGTACGTTATGCGGTGAATTTACAATATTCTCAAAATATATTTAAAATTAATACAATCAACAAACTTATTAGCATATTATATTTAAATATTTTTTATATTATACTAATTACTTGAGTAAGGGTATTATGGAACATTCTACAATTGAATAATTTTATTAAAATAAGTACAATAAGAGCATAAAAATATTTTCATTGTTGTACATTTGTACATAAAAAGTGGACGGTTAAGGTTGTATCTCACTGTAATCGAGAGGTTCACAAGGGGATGTCACACAAGTACAAATGTGCCCTAACCATAAAATCACCCAAGATGAAAGATAAAATAAAAATGAGAGAAAAGAAAAACATCAAAACCTTGCTGCTGTTATTTCAAGCCAAACTGTCAGGCAAGATAATGGAGAGACATCAGGAAAGCAAGATGCAATCATAGCCAAAATTGACCAGCTGAAATTCTTTGCTTTCAGGAGAAGCGCCTCCCCAGGTCTTTCCTCCTTTTCACATTCTGCTATGGTTCCAAATAATTCAACAGGTATATAAAGGTTCTCATCTGGAATAACAGTTTCAACCCCTCGTTCTGCAGTATCAATATTCAATGAACTAATCTTTTTCCGAGACTGCATGCTTCTCAGAACAGTTAAAATGTGAATCTTCAAACGTGGATCGCTGAACTCCTTTGACGCCTGACATAAGGCAGATAACAAAGAAGATTAAGACCACAACAACTGCTAAGGATAAAATGAGGGTACAGTTTTCCCCAATAAATAAAAAGAGAAGGTTAAAAAATGAATATAAATAAAATGTACATAAAATGAAGCTCACCACTTGGATTACTGTTTCAAATGGGTATTTCCCAACTTGAGCTTCTGATAAAAACCCAACCTAGGAGGGGAAAAGAAGAACAACTTTATTGCTAATAATAATTAAATGACACATGGAAGATACCAAAATTTGAAGTACAATTAGGTAGACATCAAAAGAGTGTACCCAATCATTGTCCCTTGCTAATACAGTTAGGTATTTAGTGCTCAGAGGAATGTTATGCATCTGGCAAAAAGTTGTGACCAACTGCCATTGCTGGCTTATGGTTTTCTGTTGAGATCTCAAATCTGCCCCATCTCCATTTCCACTTGCTAACCAAGATCCACATGTCGCACCACTGGATGGCAGTGGAAGACTGACTTTCTCCAAATGCTGCAGAACAAGCAGCAAAGCTCGTGATGGTTGATTAGAAGTGGTATTGTCTCCTTCACCATTTTGTACCATTTTACTTGAACCTTTATGAAGGTAGTCGTCTGCTAGTGCTCGTGCAAGAGATTTTGTCACATCAACTTCAACAGGTGTTACATAAAATGTGGAGCCCTTAGGTGACAATTGACTGTACAAAATGTTGTCAGAAGACTTGTAGAAAGAAGATATTCTTCTCAAGGCAGAAATATCAATATGCAGAAGAGCAGCTGATAAACCACATAGCTCCAAAAGGAAAGCGCACGATGCCACCAATACAGAGTCGTCAAAATGCTCAATAGCAAGTGGTATCACCTGATCAGGAAAGAAAGAAAACTGCTGGTCAGAGTTGCATCAATACATGATGATAAATTGTTAATGGCATGGGTCTACTTGAGCTTTATCTATTTTTATTTCAAAATTTTGGTCAGCTCCTTGGGTAACAGGTCTCTTTTTGTTAGCTTTATTAGTTTACATACAAAACCAGTTACATAATCACCAGTTTGATCGGGAAAATAAATTCTGAAATGTTTTAAACAGCATCTATATACCATACTTTTTGAGCAGCGTCTACAAGTCCAAGGTGTTCAAATACCACTCATTGTGATGTTGTGTGCTTTTAGTTATAGGCTTCAATCATAAC